CAATATCTTTTCCCTATGGGACATGAATAAACCAGACATCGAAGCCTTTATTGAACAAGCAAACTTACATCACCCAACTATTGAATTCACGGCTGAAACATTTGACACTGAGACTGCGCTTTTAGACACGGTTGTATACAAACGCGCAAGATTCAAGGAAAAATCTATCCTTAATGCAAAGACACATTTTACACACACGCAAACCTTCTTGCACACACATTTCACCTCGTGTCACCCTCCAAATGTTAAAAAAGGATTTGTCAAAGGAGAAGCCTTGAGAATCCTACGAAAAAACTCCTCAAAAACAACCTTTGAGGAAAATAATTCAAATTTAAAAAAAAACGCTTGATGGACGGAGGCTACCCACAATCTTTGATAGAAAACCTACTATCAGAAATAAAACTCACAAAAGGGAGTCTAAACTCCTAAAACAAAACAACAAGGAGGAAAAAGAAATATTGCCATTCCTGACACAATACCAGCCTCAGTGTCTACTATAAAGGAAGCTTGAATGAAAATATGGAATCATATACAAAACCAACTATAACTTCAATAACTTTTTAAAGAACCACCAATCATTTCCTTACAAAAAAGGAAAATCATTAAAGGACATGCTCGTTAGAGCCAAAAAAAAGGTTAACAGAGGGTTCCACGTCCGTATAGATGTGCGGCGTGTCACCCTTTGTATTTTCTCGCGCAAGTTTGTGAGTATTTTAGCAATAATTTAGCAATAAGCTGGCTGTGTTTTGTATAACAAGTGTAGTCAACTGTCTCGTTAGTAGTTAGTGCCTATCTATGTAATAAAATAGGGTGACCCACCCCCTAAGGGTAGCTGAAAATTGCCCGACCCACCCCTTGCACAAGGCTCAAAACCTCATGACCCACCCCCTCTCTCCTCCGGCCCACCCCCACCTATACTTTTTGACCAGTCCCTTATTTAAAATTCCTATGAAATGATGCGTTTGTCGCATTGTTTACTAATTTATTGGTGACTGCAATCCAACTGGGCAGCGATGTTTTCTATTTCTAATGCATCCCATCATGGATGGAACATAAAAGCGCTATGTAGCGTACAAAATGTTTATGCCGTTTTATTTTTTTAAAGGGTTTTAGTTGAAAAAAAAAATTGTGAGATAAATAGATTTTTAGAAATTTTTTGGGATATTTAGAGATGTTTGGAGGGATTTTAGGGGAAAAAACTGGGAATTTCCGGTCGGGACTGATTTTTCGAACATTTTTTGGGATATTTGTTTCTAGTCCTATCATGAGCCATTATTTCGCGCCAACATTATACAAATTTTAATCAATCTTCTGCAGACGGAACATGCGTCGCTCGCTTCGCAAGCGTGCTTCGCGCCTTCGGCGCTCACGCAGTCGACTTGTGGGCGAGTCCAGGGAGCAACCTTTATTGAAAAAGGTGTACAAAAATTTTCTAGAGCGCTATGTATGTTATGTAAGAAAACGTCGAGCTTTTCATGAAGGTGTCGCTCCACGAATTGAAAGCGTTGATTACTTTGGAACAAGAGAATATTTCAGTCGTCGAAAAAACAAAGAATCTTTAGGTTAAAAATTTCGATGGGGAGGAGAAGTGATCGGGTGTTAAACATTTATTGTATGTAAATGAGTCTTGTGAGAGGCATGAAGGTGATGAAGTAATTTCTCTCGAATCGAGGCCCTTGATTTTCGCGTATTTATACTCGCAAACTCCATCAATACAGTCGAATACGTTATAAAAAGCATCAAGAGTAACTATCCTGAATAATACTTGACCGTCGATAAGGTAGGACGTGTAAATGTTTAGCGAGGCAATCCCGTTTTGTGCACAGGCGACCCAGACGTAGTGTGTGTCCATAACAAGGGCAAAATGGGATGAGTCGTCGAATCTCCCATGAACTAAAATAGTCCAGAAGTCAAAATATAAGAAAACAAAGCTAACATACCTTTAACTGAACGACTCCTCGTCTCTCCTGGCCGGTTAAAGTGTCATTTTATCGAGTTTTGCAATCGGGTGGATAGTATCTACGATTGCAAAACTCGATAAAATGCCACTTCAACCGGCCAGGAAACACGAGGAGGCGTTCAGTTAAAAGTATGTTGACTTTGTTTTGTAAAATTTTGACTTCTGGACTATTTTAGTTCATGAGAGATTCGACGACTCATCCCATTGACACACACTACGTCTGGGCCGCCTGTGTTTTGTGTAGAATAAATCGCCTCCTCATTTCTTCTCTCTTTCAAGCTCGACTTGACGCCTTTAAAGCCGTCGTTACAAGCTACATTGCGATATTATAAAACTCACTTACTTTGTCAAATGTAGGCGAACTCTCCTGGAGTTGAATTCCTAAAAACCACATCCAAGATTAGAGAGAGAAAGAAAAATTGGTCATCGCTTTTTTGCCTCCTCCATAAAACGCGAACATAAGAATTTCAACGTGGATCGTGCAGTAAGGGAAAAGAAATGTACAAAGTTGTTGTTTTGCTCAAACCTACAAATTAATACGTTTTTTACCTTCTCGTTGCCTTAGCCGTCGTCAGACCTTTAAAGTTCCCATTATGATAAGTAGTGATGTGTAATAGAAATTGTACGATATTACTCAAGTTGCTCTGGCCAGATCAAAAATAATAATAATAACAATAGGACAATTATTTGATGATGTCCTATTACTACTACAACCACAATTGACCACTCCAGAAAATACCATAACATACCATAATGTTCTTTGTTTGTCACCCCAAAATTTTGCATAGGCATTGTCTTCAGTTTCTCTTGGGAGTTAAAATGGCCCGAAGAGAAACTGAAAACAATGCTTATGCAAAATTTTGGGGTGACAAACAAAAAACATTATGGTATGTTATGGTATTTTCTGGAGTGGTCAATGCTTCAGTTTGTTGTTATCTTTGCAAATTAATTAAGGCTATTGTCTTTAAAACCTCAGCGAGACTGACAAATTTAAATAAGAACGCAATAATTTGTTCCCATCCTCCGTTTTAATACGAGTCTAGCAGGTCTAGGTGCGACGCCTTTGATATGAAAACCATGTTTCGCATTCACATCAAACTCACTCCAAATAAACGATTTACAGTTAAACTCGTTTTTGCACGTTCAGGGTTCGTGTAGATTTTTGGATCCAAAATTCAAAATTTTTTTTCCAAACCAACTCCAGGGAAAATCGCCTTCAACCGGCATTTTGAGCAAATAGGCCTGTTGCAGCTAGCCCTAACCCTAACCCGTGGTACAAAACCTCCTTGCTGGAGAGCATAAGTCGCACTGGGACAGGAAAAACAAAAGACATACAGAATTTTGAATCCCAATTTCCTTTGTTTGTCATGTTCCAGCGCCACTTTTGCCTTCCAGTACGGCGGTTTTGTATCCCAGGAATGGCTAGTTGCAAGGGCCCATTGTTATAGACGCGACAAAGTTTAAAATAGGAAAAACGCGAATCCATTTCAAAAGTGACTTTTTCGCTGCCGTTGCACTAGCCTACGTGTAGCCGCACCCTCCCTTCGAGAAAGGAAAAAAGGAGCACCATTGCCCTCCCATTTTTTAGGGGGGGGGGAAGGGAGGCGGGAGGCGGGAAAAAGGGGAAGATTAGAAAGGGTTAAATCAATAATTTCTAGCTCACACTAATGACCTCTGCAGCAATGGTCAAAGAGAAAAGCGTTGCGGCGCGCGACACAGCTTCCACTATCCTTTTCACCCTGTACTTTGGCTTGGCTTGGGCGTTGGGAGCATTGCTTGACTCCAGCCCGAGCGGCTGCAAAGGACACTATCATTTGAATGGCAACATAGACTGTTTACAGTCTCCCTTTTTTTCGTATCGAGCGACGGGCAGCCATCTTGGTTTTATATGTACCGAAGAGGCAGGCGTCGGGGTTTTTTACCATCACCCGGCCCCTAAGTACATTTGACTCTCACCCCCAGGCAAAACTCGGCACATTTGAAACCAAGATGGCCGCCCGTTGCGCAAAGTCTTCGATCTCCACGATATTACGGAAAAAACAGAGGGCTGTGTTCAGTCTATTGGTAACACTATGTGAGTGACTAACATCGTCATCACGTGCTATCAAAAACCTTAATAGCACCCCTTCCCCACTGTTGTACTCTTTTATGGCCCATGGGAGTTAAAATGAGATAATTCACTCATTCGTCATTTGCACATCTCTCGTACTGCAACTTGTTTGCCCCCAAAGTTTTGCACAACCTTTGCTTTTAATTTCTTCTGGATATAAGCGAATCTTTGTTTACATTATCTCTGAAAATTTGAGCCCAATACACCGAATGGTTTCGGAGAAATTCTCTTCTAAAACTCGAAATTTTACAGAGAATGTGTGGCTCATTAAGTTTTTTGCCACACAGCTATTTCGCAGTTTTTGGTGGCTGATATTTCCTTCAATATTGCTTGCAAGGAGCTGAAAATTGTTCAAATTGCTCAACTTAATCAGCTCTCTTAACTTAAGCATTTAGTTCATATATATGGCCACGGCTTCTGTGAGTTAAGTCGTATGCTAATGACGAAAAATGGAAACAATGACGTCAGCAAAGATTCGCCTATTGCAGTCGTCTAAAGAGAAATTTTTAGACTATGCTTATGCAGAATTTTAGGGGAAAACTAGGTGCATTATGGGAGATGTGCAAATAGCGAATCCCGCTAGTTAAGAATAAAAAACGCCTATAAGAAGAAGGCTGGTTTATTGTGACAAGTTCAACTAACATGAGCTATTTTCAGCTCAGGAAATAAATTGAGAAATTCCTATTTCAGTTCACGTTCCACAAGGAGCCTTTTTTTTCAATTCGATATATTAGCCTTAAATTATTAGACTTACAAGGTTAAGAGACCAAGAGAGATGATTAAATTATATGGAGACACAGTAATAGCAAGTTTTCCATTTTTCTCTTATGTTTTCTTTGTTTTTTTTTTTGGAAGTTGAAGACAAAGCCATGCACAGCAGGCAGAAAGAGCAAAATGTAATTACATCATCTTAACGCAAGTCCCTTGAGGTCATTGTATAGAGGTGCGCTCGGTCAGAAGCGGCCGCCGTTCCTCTGTACCGTCATAAAAGGGCGTTCTCAGAGAAGAATGGTCCGGAAGCTTCAATGTGCGTGTTGACATTGGCCCAATGTAGCTCAATAGAACGGGTAAGAAAATGAGTCCATGAAACGCTCCAATCAACACAACACCGAGATACATGCGAAAGTAGAATACCTAAGCCAAAAGATCGTTATAGTTAGAGACCTCAACGATTACGTTAGTCCTTTCACTCCCAAGAGCCTAAATCTAGAGTCTTTTTTTGCACAATAGTGAAAAACAAACAGCACCATGTGATAGTGCTATTGGCGAAGTTTTATTTGACTGGTTAAACCACAGGATTTTTTTTCAGACACAAAGGAAGGTACTGCTCAGTAGCTTTGATTGGAAAGATGACGATATGTTAGCTATCTTCTCCGCAGCGGCCCCCGATGGGTAGTCCAATTATTAATGATTAATGATATTCTTATCTCCTTTTTTACATTGTAAAGCGCTTAGAATATATAAATTTCATTATTATTATTATTATTCCAATAAAATAGGAATAATTAAAAAACAAGAAGCGCGCGGTGGAAGATCAACCTTTAACCACTCTCCCCAGCTTCTTTAACACGCAACAGGGGATTCTCGTCCCCGGAGCCTCCTGTTCCCTTAGCCGGCGAGGCCTGAGCACGAGGACCACGAGGCTCAGGGGACGAGAATACCCTGTTGTGTGTTAGGAAGGCTGGGGAGAGGGGTTAAACGCTGTAGAAAATCAGGAAATGACCGGAAGTCATAAAATCTAGGACTTAAGACCAGAGTTCCTGGTCCTCGCCCCCAGGGCCTTGCCGGCCGACCTCTGCGGAGGAGAGAAGCGTTTTAAGATTTTACCAACAGAATCAAAAGTTCAAATTCTTTGCATAGGACTCAAGGAGTGAAAGGGGTAATTAATCCTGTTAATGTTATTTTTTGTTAAATTTATTGGCGTCAAATTAACTGCGTAATAAAGGCGCTCTCTCAGACGTTGAGTGAACGATGTTTTTGCCTGAAGGTGAGCGGACTGTCTTGTTGGGCGGTGGACCGACGTAACTCAAAAATACTGGCAGAAAAAAAAGGCCGTGTAGAGCCCCTAAAATAACTATGCCAACATACATACGGAAGTAGAATACCTGCAAAGATAAAAATAAAAAAATTGGCCAGTTTAAGGCTGGCTTTGACCCTTTCCCTATTAAAATTTTGCCCTACAGATTATCCAAAACGAAAGGAAAAAAAAAAAAACAATCCAGGCGTTATTGGTCGGGAAGAGTAAAATTCATTTTTCACACTTTGACAACAAAATTAAGTTTGGAGAGAACTTGCTTTTAAAGATTTTCTGATCAACGCACATGTACACGTCTTAATACCCCAAAACTATACCACAGCATGAGGCATGAAAGAGTCTATGAGTTCATTTAATTTGTGAAATCCAGAACTTGATTAACTGGGGAAGCTACATCGCATACACACGCCCACCTTGTTCAAACGCTTGATAGTACTTCAAACTGGATAGTGATTGTGGAATTGTTAAGAAAACTAATTGCAATTTCCACTAGATAAATAAAGCACTATCTCTGTTTTGAACAACGGAAACCAAACAGAGTTTCCCCTTTAAATTAAAAAAAAATTTAAGGGAATCTTAGAAGCACAATTAAGCAAAATTTCATCTCTACTGACCGAGCTGTTGTTTTGGATCCCCGTTATGTGCTGTTTCATACGGAAAGGGTCAAAGCTATTTACACGTACGAATTTGTAATCCACGTTCCTTTCAATAATATTACACGTATGGGTATTGGCAAAACAAGGGTATTAATTAAAACACGACAAAACAAGAAACAAAAAGAGGATGAAGTGCTATGGCGAACACGAGCCATACGGCTTTCACTGCAATAGCTTGCGAAGTGTCTTTTCTCTTACAAACACGATTTGCAGGGTGCAAAGAAAATCAGCTGTACAGCTTGCCATTCCCGCAAACTTTAGCTATTATGTACTAGCCCAAACGTCATTTCAACTAGCCCGAAAATAAATTTTGATGAGCAGGATTTATTACAGTTCTTCGGTAATTTGAATTTCAAAAACAAAATTAACTTGCCCATCGGGTAAGTTAAGAACAGAATTCACTTGCTCAAAAGCAAAATCCACTAGCCTCGGGCTGTCGGACACCACTATCCTTGCGCGCTGATTTGCCTGAATATTTGGGCCAAAACAATGCCCAGAATGCAAAAACTCCACTTTCAGATTTTTGGCGCCGATTGGAGCGCTTCCTAATGCGTCGCCAAGAATAGCTTACACATCCTCGGAGACCCAGGGGCAGTCAGTCGGGCCAGGAGAACAGGCGCGACGAAAGTTTTCAATCATGGGCGGAAGAGCCCCTGGGTACCCCTTGGGGATGCTTTTCGCCGATTGGGCACAATAATACAAAGCATTTTTTTGTGCCCAATCAAGAGCCAGCATTCGCTTGACCGTTTGGAAATGATCCGGTGAGAGTCGGTACCCAAGGGGTTTTCCGCCTGTGCTTGAAAACTTTCGTCGAGCCTTTTCTCCCGGCCCCACTGACCGCCCCTGGGTCTCCGAGGATGCAGGTTACACAGCTGGGTGAAAAGAGCTTAACTGGAGCAGAGTTTCCTGTTTAAGGAAATAAGCTCACGGCTAACCACACACAAATTTTGTTGAATGTACTCGTGATTTTGTACAAGTTTGATTGACATTCAAGCAAACGATTTTTCTCACAAGGCCTGCGATAACTATTTAAAAAGGGCGTTTGTACTCGTACCTTGTAAATTTGAGGCAAATCTTAATATTTCAAAATAAAAATAAGGAAAATTTGTTGAACTATTGGTCACAGATTTTATATATTAAATGAATTGAGCGCTCTACGGAATACGTTCTACCCAGAATACAAGTATTTATATATATATATATGTTGCATAAAAAAACGGTCTTTGTAAAAAAAGCGTCATTTTTATGTAAAAAAGCTGCTTTTTTACAAATTGAGCGGTTGTAAAAATACTGCTTTTTTACAAAAATATATTTTTGTAAAAAAGCAGCTTTTTTGTGTAAAAAACTGCTTTTTTACAAATTAACCGGTTGTAAAAATACTGCTTTTTTACAAAAATATATTTTTGTAAAAAAGCAGCTTTTTTATGTAAGAAAGCTGCTTTTTTACAAAATATATTTTTGTAAAAAAGCTGCTTTTTTATGTACAAAATCTGTTTTGTTATAAAAGATATTTTTGTAAGAAAGCTGCCTTTTTATGTAAAAATCCTGCTATTTTACACGTATAGACCATTAATTTGACAAACTCATTTATCGAAGAAAGACTGTTTTCTATAGCATGGTTCGAAATTTATTGAACTGTAGTTTTCGTGCGCTTCTCAAACCGTACATTTTAAGATATCCGGCTAGTCACGTTCACGTTCCCGTGTCCCCTTTATTGTGGGGCATTTAAATTCCCTTGTTAACTCGCTGACAGCGTTAAAAATTTACGTTCTTTTTATTCTTTTTATTATTTCTTCTTGTTTCCTTTGTCATTCAATTTTCCAGGACCTTCTAATTGTTGGATGCGAAGAAGGAACAGGCAGTAATTTCATTTGTTATGCTTATCGGCCGAGGTCACGCAAGGCAGCATGTTAGGCAATAATAGAATAGCTGGGTTATTCACTGTCTTATTTATAAGCAATGCCTGTCACAATCTCTTGCAGCAACCAAAGCCTTCTATTCTCTCCTTCATTGCTACTTTTGTTCAAGCCGAAAACTGTACAGAATATTGTTCTGTATTATTTATCTATTTTCCCAAGGTTATCAGCTGCAATAATCGGTTTAACTGTCAACAAAATACTTGGCTATAATGCTTTGGTGCTCTTAGCAGTGGATAAATAAATTTTAAGTCCATTTCTAGCATAAAATCTCCAGCAAGAATCAACGACAGCAATTGTTAGGCAATTTCCTGTATTATGTATGATGCGCTAAACTTCTGTCACGGGATTCATGCTATGTTGAAATCCATGTTGATGCATGCAAGATTGTCATGTCTGCGTTACAACTTTAAGCTTTCAACATGATGTAGGAACATGTTCAGTCGGCTAATCAAGCAAAAGGAAACGCTAGCCTATAGCTACAAGCGTACATACACTCGCTTGTTAGTCTAATTTTTGCAATACACAGAGCAACTTTATAAGGCCATAAAAACAGCAGCCGATTTGTTTACAACAATTAGGGACTATAAAGGAGGTCTGTAACGTACGGCAATGCGTGTTTTATTTTAGAGATCGAGAAATAAGCCCGAAAACACTTGTAAAGGCTAAACAACTTTAATATGAACACAAGCTGAATTCGCCAGCAACATTTAGTGTAGGACCGTTTTTTTACAAAATATATTTTTGTAAAAAAGCTGTTTTTTTACAAAAATATCAGTGTAAAAAAACAGCTTTCTTACGGTACCGTTTTTTTACACAACATACATATATACATATATATATATATATATATATATATATATACATATATATATATATATATATATATATATATATATATATATATATATATATATATATAAAAAATCAATGGTTTGAGAGTCTATAAAAGGCTGTTGTTGTTTTGAATGTTCTCTTGTTACGAAATTCCTTTCAGGTCATGCCACATGAAATAATGTAGTTCAAGACCGCTGGTACTTTGCATACTCGTACCTGATACCGACTTCGTAAAGTCTTTTGTTATGTCAATGACAAAATACTACTAAGTACATACCTCAAATATTTGAGATTTTGCGAAGTAAAGTACCAGTATTCCTGAAAATTTGGTAAGCGTTATTCCACTCAACACCTACAAGAAGTAATAACAACAAAATAATTTTGGTCAATTTTAACCACAGATTACAGAACCCTACTATTTTGTTGACAGTGCTTCAAATGGATTGTACCTATCAAGTAAACTGAAAACTAACATGTCTCAAGACAAGAAGAGATAACACAATATTTTATTTGGGTTCTTATACCATCTGGTACATCGACTGTTTTCCAAATGTGTCTCATTTTTTCTACGTCCCTCACAACTGCTTTGAAACAGCAACTTAAGAAATTTATGTTCCTCAGAGATCGCGTACAAAATCTTTCCTCCACTATGATTCGACCAATCAACTGATAAATCAGCGTTTTCACATGGTGCTTTTTATTTAGTATGTTTTTTAACCTTTTTACTCTGTGAATGAAATCAAAAGGAGGGGGGGGAGGTGAGGCATCTTTAGGAGTAAAGAATTAAGACTGTTTGAATTCAACTGCAAACTTACAGAGCTACCCATCTTAGCCAAGGCTTCTTTTGCTCGTTCTACACGGGTTGGCTGTCTGTTCACAGTGAAAGCTCGAGCAATATGTGAACAAAATTCCACAGATATTCCAACGGCCTATTGAAATAAAAAACATGATCTAACTTAGACTACAAGCAGTCGATCTTTTTTCTTCCTTTCGTCGAGTGAAACGCGCGGACACACGGAAATGATCACTAAAGTCCTTTTATTGGTATACAAAGCCCTTCATGGCCTTGCACCTTCTTATATTTCTGACCTTTTGAATTTTAAAACATACTCTAGGTCATTGCGTTCTTCATGTAAAGAATACTTAGTGGTTCCAAGAAGCAGATTGAAAACATATGGAGACAGAGCTTTCTCTATTGCAGGACCTAAATTGTGGAACGATTTACCTCTAGAGATTAGAAAATGTGCTTCAGTGGCGACTTTTAAGCAATCCCTTAAAACTTTTTTATTTAAGTTAGCATATAGGTTATGAGATTCCTTTTGTTTTGAGATGTTTTTGATTTATATAGTAGATAACTTAGGCTATATTTGAATTATATTGTATATTGTAGATATTTTATATTTTATATTTTTTATATTTTATTTTGTAATTAGGTAGCGCTTTGGACAATTATTGGATTTTAGCGCTATATAAATAAAATTATTATTATAAATTATTATTATTATTATTAATTCTGAAGAAAAAGAGAGACAGCTAGCAGTCTACATTTAACAGAATACTAAGTTCAAAGTAGAAACGAGATTTTTACATAAACTGGAATTGTACTACAATCCCTTTACCCACAAAACCTTCTGAGTTCTTAAGAACATGTTAAATGAATGTGTCCGTGCAATTCACAACGAATAGGAATCTGGAATTGTTGGATTTGAGAAAGGGGGGCCTATTTTTACTCACACGAAATTAAGCAACTTGAGGAAATTTCCTGTCTAACCCTTTAAGCCCCAATATCCACATACAAATTCTCCCAACTGATCTCCATACATTTCCTTTAAGAATTACTTGAGAGAATTTGATAAAAGATCAAGGCATTTTCCCTTTGGTGATCATTTTGTTAATTCTCATTACCTTATCTCTTGACAATGTATGAATATTGTTAGGAGAAAATTGTTGTTGGTCACCATTGGCACTCAAAGGGTTAAGCTTTTCCTCACCAGTAAGTTTACTACGTCCAGCGTTTTAATTTGCATAATGATGGCGGTGTGGCGTGTATGTTTGATGTCTAGGCCAGTTAGCTAATGCACTTGGCAGTGACTAACTGGAAAGCCTAAGCTCCTTTGGTCAATGCACACATTTCACTGTTGATGATTTATGTAATTTGTTGTTTTATCTTTTCTCACTTTTGTAATGCGTTGTAATTTTTGAAGCAACCTCTTGAAATAATGCAGAAAAATAAAATATCTGAATCTGAATTGCAACATACCATGACTAAGTTGACCAATGACACTGCATTTAACGATATATCCCAGACGTACATCAGCCCAAGCAAGTTAACAATGATTACAGCAACGGTAAAAGTTACAATCAATGCAATACTCAAGTTAAATCCCAGGAGAAGGAAAGTAACTACAAATATGGCCGCTGAAAGAAAACAACAGAAAAGGTCATTACAGTTATGATTATTTTTTTTCGATCTTAACACCTATCCCAAAAATTCGTTCACTTAACTACAGTAAACCCCCGATAACTCGAACTCGAGGGGTTCGAGTTGGTTCGAGTTATGGAAATAAATTTTAGTGAAATTTTGATCACGAAAAAGGACATTTTGGTCGAGTTAATGGAGAATTCGAGTTATCCTAATCCGAGTTTGAGTTATCGAGGAGCTACTGTAATTTGAATGGAAATACCACAGCATTTCGACCACAGATTCAAAATTAGAATGACAAATCGTCTCATTGTAACTCGATGTCAGAATGAAAGAGTTACTTGACCTTTCCTGCATTCTGCTTCAGGGAGCAAACAAGAAGAAAGGAGGTCAAGACTTTCGTGGACAATTTCATACAAATCACTGTATTTTATGTCCACTCCAACCACCTTACCATGGTGGAATAGTTTGTGTGTCTCAATGACCCATAGAGCTACTGTAAAATTCCGAAAATAAGCCCCTCCATGTATAAGCCCCTTCAAATATAAGCCCCCCAAACCGGTAACGTAAAAGACCCTCCGTTAAATCGCCCTATCCAAATATAAGCCCCCCGGGGGCTTGTACTTGAAAAATTGCCCTCAAATACGAAGAAAAACAAAGTAAAAACGGTAAATTTACTTCCAAATATAAGGCTAGCTCAATCGATTTCAAAACGCAAATTTCCCTCCGCAGATAGGCCCCTCCAAAAAAAAGCCCATCAAAAAGGGCTTTGAAAAATATAAGCCCCGAGGCCTACTTTCGGAATTTTACGGTATCTTGGCTGGAGTCTTTAAATCCTGGTAGGGCCACCCATGCTGAACAGGACGAAGGATAGAGACCAGACTAAGTGTGGTCCCCTGGTCCTCCCGGTTGGAGGTTGGGCTGAGGGCTGATAACCTCCTCCCGTAAAACCCTATTGTTACCGAAGCCAGAAGCAGAGAAAATTCACTTTATCAAGGAAATACTGTGGCCGGTCCTCACAACAGGAGTGACTCTATGAGGCGCATTGGCCAAAGCCAACAGGAGGTCCCTAAGCTGAATTGACCAATGGAAGTGAAGCCCGTTGCGGCTAACCAAGCTAAATGGAGGGAGTCTGTGAAGGCTTTAAGTGTCACGAGGCACGAAGAGGATAGGCGAAGTGAGGTGACTGTATTTTGTCTACCTGAGCCTCGAGTTGGTGCCTTTGTTAACCGGAATGCGGGAACGTTCTATTGAGTGGCTTTGTCAGACTGTTGGCTACCTTTTTAAAAGCTAAAACAAGTCTTCACATCAATTAAAAATGGTTCAGTGTTGTTGTGTAAGACTTTATTTACGCAATGAAATTGTTCAATGTCTACTGTTGATATGTTGCTACCAGTGAAAAAGATGGAAAAAAAAATAACCTAAAAAATTAGTATGATTATTGCTTCCTAATTAAATTTGTTTGCTCCCTTTGTAACTCTACAGGAGCATTCTGTGTCTAGCTATAGTCCCTAAGTAATGCCGGATCATTATACGTTTCTGGGAAACTGCCCACCTACCCCTCCCCGAAGCCAACATTTTGCCCTAAGTAAGAAGTGTTAATGGTGGCTTAGGAGAGGGGTAGGTGGGCAGTTTTTCAGAAGAAATAATGATCCATAATGCCTTTGGCACAGGAATGACGAAACAACAGCAATTCGCCACTTGCACATCTCCTATAATGCACCTTAATTGCCGCCCCAAAATTTTGCATAAGCATTGTTTCCAATTTCCCTTGGGACGGCTGTTATACCCAGTAGAACTGAAAAACAAAGGTTACGAAAAATTTGGGGGGTAAATAAGGTGCATTATGGGAGATGTGCAAGTGGTGAATAATTATCGTCGTGACGAAGCCTCTTTAAATCTAAAAGAGAAAAATTATACTGACCAGCACAATAGACAAGATTTTCCCATGTGTCCTTCACTATCGTCAGATACTGCTCATAGAATACATAAAACACACTGTAAGCAAAAACGTCTTTTCCTATTGTCTTTGAGATGTTCTTTGAAATCACTCTTGAATGCTTCAGAGCGGCAGTGTAGTCAGATGACGTCCGCAGAATTGTATGGTATGACATGAAGTAAGATGCTAAATAAAGACAAAGGAAAGAAATCTGTGTGACTGATACGGGGTTTTGAACATGAACAACTAGTATAAATAATTACCACAAACAACATTGCTTTTCAGACACTAGCATTTGCACTGCGCACCGCGCACACAGTGTGCCAATGTTTGTTAATTAATCGCGCAACCGCAATGCTGAATTCTGAAAAAAGGTTGAGACACCCCTTCACCGTCTCATTCTTTCGCTCTTACGCCAATACCAAGGGTTCATTTTTCTACTCTCTCCAATCAGCGTCAGTGATAAAATCAAAGATGACGGCCATGGCATTATGAACATAAACAAGTGAAATTTGGCGAAGAGTTGTTTCAACAAAACTTATTGTCACGCTTGTCACACAAGGTTTGCTGTCTTCCTCTCTCGTCCTGTCGCGTAAGTTCACTACTATCTTTCCTTAAGAGCTTTATTACAACACCTGTGTTACCTTGGACATAATATTTGTCAGTTGTCAGATTACCCAGCTTGACAGCATCACCATATGCCGCATGACCACTAAAAAGGAGACAGTGAAAACAATGCAATTATAAACAGTTATTGGATGAGGTTTTTGTGATATCCCGCGGAATAATCAAGGTCGAGGTCAGTGTTATCATGTATAATGATATACAGTTGACTCACGAAAACTCGAACCCTCGCTAACTCGAAACTCGCGCTAACTCGAACCAAAATCGGTTTGCCCTGGATTTCCTTAAGAAAAGTGACGTTACTTTATGACCTGATTGGTTTTGTTTTTCCTGCAGAATTAAGTTAGTTTTTAAACTGACATTATAAGATTTTTTTAGAAGAAAAAGGGCTGGAACCATATATACATCCCTATCGCCAACCTTCACCTCTTGTCAAAAAGGCACCCGTTCAAAACGGTAAAAAATAGTGAGCCGTATACCCTGTTTAAGACCCACATGCAG